GATTGTTTTGCCTTTGTAGACAGCAGAAGCTCTACCCTCATAGTGATCACCCCGACATGCGAAGTCGTTTAGCCAACGCACCCGAAGAAGGAAGCGCAACAGGGCAGAGTTGCTCAGTGAACTCCCAGGGCCGTTCAGCAGACGCCAATCATCGGGGTTCGGGTGGCTCTTCTTCCGTTGGGCATCAGCTGGCCGGTTATGGGGCCCGGGGGCCGTCAACAAAAACAGTCAGGTGAGACAAGCCGGTCCCAGGAATCGGGGCCGGGAGGCCCGCGGGCCCACGTTCACAGGAATAAGCTGACACCGGATGTCTGGGAAGGGGGGTGGCCGAAGGGAGAGCGCAGGAAAATGGTGGCCGAGGCGAAAGCGCAGCGGGCATGGAAGGGCAGTGCCAGGCGGCAGGCGTAGGAGGCAGGCGATCAGGAAGTCGAAGACGAAAAAGCATCAAAAACATAGTTAGACTTTTGGCGCTCCGCTCGGATCTCTTGGATCCGCGCTGAGCCCCCCCTGGGCGGCGCATCCAGCGCCGCCCCGGGCGCGCTCCGCGCGCCAGGGAGGGGGGCCAGCGCAGATCCAAGAAATCCGCGCGGAGCGCCAAAAGTTTCTGTTCATGTTGTTATTTCTTTTTCCGAAGGGGGCAGACGTAGGGGGCAGGCGATCAGGAGATGAGCGCGGAGGGAATGTTTTTTTTGTTCTGGAGGTTCCACCCAGCACCGGTTTTTTGGTTTTGCTAGATCGGTTTGCTCGGGTCTGGATCTGTCTGCGAGTTTGTTGCCAGCCGCGTTGGCGCAGAATCCACGGATACAGATGCTGGCAGAACCGCCAGAAGCGGGTGGCCGCACCGCCAGTCGCGACAGCGGCAGCGGTGCCGCTTGCGCGCGCGCGCGTCCCTGCGGCTTGCTCTCCTACGGCCACGCCAACGGCAACAGCGCATTTGTTCGTCATGGTTGTCGTCTCGATGGCCACCGTCCTCTGAGCCGTTTGGAAATCTCTCCGAACACCTGGCTTAGTTCGGGCACAGTGTTTGGCCCGCAGGTCTCAAACCTCCAACGGCGACAGTACGTATTCCAGCATTCGTGATATGTTAGCCATCGTGGCAATATATGTGGCACTATATACGTGGAGCGATCTAGGTCGTGCGATTGGAGCGATAAATTGGGTGCGATCTACGTTGTGCAATATATAATGTGCAATGGACGTTGTGCAATCCACGTGGTAACTTACATGTGGGGTGCAATCAATATGCTGCAATCTATGTGGGGCAATATAGTGCAATCTACGTGGTGCTGCATATGCGATGCAACCTGTGCGATGCAATCGACACGCGTGCAATAAACGCAACGCAATATCGATAGTGAGCGATGCAATAAAAAACACTACAGGGGCGACCTAATGTTCGTGCAATCTATGTGGCGCAATCTTTGTCAGGCAATATGGTTGACCCAATCGACGGGTTGCAATTCATTGTTAAAAATGAGTTGACACATCCCACGCCCTTGCAAACATCCCGTCCGCCCACCCGCAACTTGGTTTGCAAAATCCATGTGGCGGCGATTACGATGAGTGCTCTGCGCTGGCTGCCGCATCGCCGCGGCCGCGCTAACGCGCATGTTCGCGCGCAGAGCGGCCAGCTAGTTTGCCGCGGCCGACGCGGCCGCGGTGGCGCTGACCGACGGGCATTTCCCCGCGGGCACTTCAGTGCGAGTCGGTGCCATGGGCGGGCGCGGCACCACGGCGACACCGACAACCTCTGACACGATTCTGCGAGTAGAAATAATGGTGGCGATGGCGGCGACGACGACGGCGGGGCCAATGCCTGCGCCGACGTTGAGCTCGACCGCCGATAACCATGACGACGTCCTTGCGCCGGCGATGAAGGTTTTAGACGGAGCTCGACATTCGCGCGCGGCCGACGCGCGCAAGTGGCCAGCGTGGTATTATTTGACGCGGATCGCGCCCCCCCCCCCATGCACGCGCGCAAGGGCGTTCGAATGAGTTCGACATGCGGCGCGAGAGGCCCGCGTAGCAGAATTTGATGAAACGGCTGTGAACCTCATGTTTTTGTCTGGAGAACTCGCAAGGCCGCGAGCGCAGACGCTTTTGAAAACTAGCGCTGCAACGCCATGTGTTTCATGCGTTTCCAGGGCGCTCGCCGTTGAAGTCATTGCGGAACCTATGTATACATACATACATACATACATACATACATACATACATACATACATACATACATACACACACGTACATACATACATACATACATACATACATACATACATACATACATTCATACCTACCTACCTACCTACCTACCTACCTACCTACATACATACATACATACATACATATACAGTTATATATAACTGTATATGTATATATATATATATATGTGTGTGTGTGCGCGCGTCGCCCCAGCTTTTACAGGGGATTAGTACGACTGCGCGCGCGCAGGGGCGGCCCGGCGATGTCGTAGCGCTCGCGCAAGATGCCCGATTGGTAGCAAGTTCTGAACATGTCGAAAAACCAGCGGTTTTCTTGAGGGCAGGCAAGAGCGCGGGCGAATGCTTCTCGTAGAAACACAAGCCTCTCCCCCGTCCGGTTGGCGGATTTGGGCCCGTGGTTGCCCCGCTGTTGTTTCGAGGTTCTTTTGTGGTTGTCCCGATGGTTGTCCCGACGACTGTCCCAATATTTGTCCAGAAGGTTGTCCCGATGGTTGTCCCAATGGTTGTTATGATGGTTGTGCCGATGGGTCGTGGCCCCAAGAAATGCCTGCGGCGCCTTCGTCGCCTCGAAATTCCTGTCATCATGCAGCGCAAAATGCGCTGGCTGTCGCGATGGGTGTCTTGATGGCTTCATGGTGAAATCGGCAATGCGCTTGATAGATGAACGGTGAGGTCGATAGATGCAGCGATACGGATGCTGAGACTAATCCCACATACCGTGGCATGCATATGTGTACATATATATAAAGTTATGTATACATATGTTTGTATATGAGTACATGTTTGCAAACATATGGTTGGCTTGTTATATAAGCATATATGTTGACATGTATATGTACATACACACCAACCTACATAAACATGCACAAGGAATACATGCAGCCACGTCGTGGTATCGATTGATGGCTATTGATGTGCATATATATATACACACAAAGGGTATCGGTCGGGAGCGGGCTCGATAGTGACTGGAATCATAAATGTGTGTATGCATGTATGGATGTATGTATGTATGTATGCATGCATGTGTATGTATATCTTGATACAGGTGTATGTGTCTGAACGTGTGCATGCATGGGAGCGCGCCACTTGATACACACGTGTGTATATATATATATATATATACAAACAGTCATGTTAATAACTATACACATATAGAATACACATATGTATGCGCATGTATGTATTGATATGTCGGTTGTTCGGGAAAATGATGATACCGCATGCGACAAACAATAGTGAGGCGGATAGGTAAATGAGGCCGATAGAGGTTGTGCAAACGATGAAGAAGGTTGTCCCGATAGTTGCCCTGTCATTGGTTCAACGCCCCCTACCTCTTCATCGGCCTTCGGGCGTTCTTATTGGTATTGCGCTAAACAGGGACAGCGGGGGCTGGTCTGTATTGCTCCAGACCGGCGGCCTGGCGGGTGGGGAAGGGGGTGTTTATCAAGGAGGAGTTGTGGAGGGGAAAAAGTGGGCTGGAAGAGAAAGCGCCTGACAACCACCTGCGCCCAGAGAGCTGGTGAGATTAGCCGGCTGCGCTCGAGCATCCCCCTCTGGCCCCGCGGGCGTTTGGCCCCTTGGCGCCCGCCCCGACGATGGCTGCCGTGGTCGAGCTGGCCCGGTGCCCCGTGCTCTGCCAGGGCTGCGGCGGCAAGATGGTCCCCGACGTGAGCACCGCCGCCCAGCACGAGGGCTGGGGCCGCCCGTGGAACACCTGCCTCTACGACTGCGTGGCCTGCCGCGGCCCGCTGGCGTCCCACGAGCGCTGCCTCGTGTGCAGGGCCTGCCGCGTCTTCCAGCACTCCCAGTGCCAGGCCCTGGCGGACCCAGCGCTCCGCGGCGCGGCCGCCGGCCGCTGGCCGGCCTGGCCGGGCCACCTGCCGACGCCCCAGAGGTGGCCGCGGCAGCGCGCCCCCGCGGCTCCCCAGCGCCCGCCCGCTGCCGCGCCCACGTCGGCGGGCGCCGCCGAGGCGCCGGGGCGGGCCTGGGAGCCGGAGGGCGTGCTGGAGGAGCTGCCCCGCGCTGCCGCGGTCGGCGGGCGCCGCCGAGGCGCCGGGGCGGGCCTGGGAGCCGGAGGGCGGCTGGAGGGTGCCCCGCCTGCCGCGGGCGGGGCCGGGCCCGCCCGGCGCGCGCCCGGCGCGCGGGCGCCCCCCGAGGCCCCCGCCCCCGGAGGACCCCTGGCCGGGCCGCCGCCGCCGCCGCCCCCTCGCGGCGGGCCCGCCGCCGCCCGGCGGCCGCGGCGCCCGGCGGCCGGGCGGAGGTGCGGTTGCCCGACGGCTGGACGGAGGTCGCCCAGGATCGGGGTTGGACAGACCTCCTACCTTGACACGTCGATTCATGAATTGACCGTTTTCGCTTCGCGAGGGGGCGTCGCGGCCGTCATTTTTGCGGGTCCAGGTCCGTCGGTTTCTGTCCCAGGCTGTTTTCACTAAGGGGAGGTTTACTAAAGGGAGGTTTGTCCATCGCCGACAGGAGCTGCTGGACGGGGCGTGGGTCCTGTGCGAGGGGGGCGCCGCTGCGCCCGGGGAGGTCTGAGGTCGACGAGCCCGGCGGGAGGCGGAGGCCTGCAGGGCGCGGCGGCCGCGGCGCGGCCAGGCCGAGGCGGCGAGCGAGGCGGGCACGGGGCGCACCTCGGCGCGGCCCTGTGAACTTTGCGGGGGCAGCTGTGCGCGCAGCAGTGCAGTTCAGGTGGGCCTGGAGGATGATGAGTCGCTCCAGCATGCTCCGGAAAGCTCTCAGAGCATTCCAGAGCTCTCCTGAACGGGGCGTTGCTGGATGTCGGGCATTGGCGGAACGCCCCCCCAAGACAAGTCGACTGAGTCACTTTGTGCGGGTGTGTTCAACATTGACAATATGGTACCGGTGCAGCCCCCTCTTGGCTTTGCTAATCGACGTGTTTTACCCGATACACCCCCCCTGACGTGGACTACTCACCTAAGGTAGCCCGGAACTCGGTGACACCGAGCCCAGCCCGCGCGGAATGGACGCGACATTTTGGAGAGAATGCCCCTCTCGCCTTGGCGCCAGCCAAATATGTGATTGAACATGTTGCTATCGCCTAGGCGCTGGCGTCACCCTTCATTGAGCGTGTAGTTCTCGCATTGGCGCTGGCCAGACCTTGAATTGAAAAATTGGCTGTCGCCGAGGCGCCAGCGACATCCTTCATTCAGCATGTCGTTCTCGCCTTGGCGCAGGCCGCATGTTTGATTGAACATGTTATCCGTAAGGGCTTCACCCCCTGCCGCCGGTCCCCTCTCTCGGATAATGGGCAATGCAAGAGCGAAATCATGAGGCCCTGGCGCCGCCGTGAAGCAGCGAAGGGACTTCACGCGAAGACGATGAGTACTCGGCAAGACAAATTGAGATTATGATGGTATTGTTGAATTCGGTGTTGTATTTCGAGCTTGCTCGCGTATGCTGTGCAAAGAGCTGTTCTACGAATTATTGAAATGTTGCAAATCCCATGTATCTTTGACCCTGACCCCACCGATCTGCGTGAGGGGTGCCACCGAATTTCAAGACATGTGGCAAATCCCATTGGTTTTCGGACTCTGACCCCGGCGATCTGCGTGAGGGGTGTCACCGAATTTTTTTCATGCAGCAAATCCCTTGTGCTTTTTTTGACCCTGACCCCGCCGGTCTGCATGAGGAGTGCCACCGAATGACAGAAGTGTGGCAAATTCTTTTTGTTTTCGGACCCTGACCCCGCCGATCTGCATGAGGAGTGCCACCGTATTTCAAAAGTGTGGCAAATCCCTGATGTTTTGGACCCTGACCCCGCCGATCTGCGTGAGGGGGGCCACCGAATTTGTAGACATGTGACAAAGCCTATTGGTTTTTCGACCCTGACCCCGGCGGTCTGCGTGAGGGGTGTCACCGAATTTTTGTTAATGTAGCAAATCCCAGTAGTTGTTCGACTCTGACCCCGCCGATCTGCGTGAGGGGTGTTACCGAATTTCAAAAATGTGGCAAATCCCATCGGTTTTCCGACCCTGACCCCGCCGATCTGCGTGAGAGGTGCCACCGAATTTTAGAAATGTGACAAATCCCATTGGTTTTCCGACCCTGACCCCGCCGATCTGCGTGAGGGGTGTTACCGAATTTAAAACATGTGGCAAATCTCATGGGTTTTCCGACCCCGACCCCGCCGATCTGCGTGAGGGGTGCCACCGAATTTCAAAAATGTGGCAAATCTCATTGGTGTTTCGACTCTGACCTTGCTTATCTGCATGAGAGGTGCCGCCGAATTTCAAAAATGTAGCAAATCCCATTGGTTTTGAAACGCTGACCCCGCCGATCTGCGTGAGGGGTGCCACCGAATTTCAGAAATGCGGCGAATCCCATGTGTTTTTGGACCCTGACCCCGCCGATCTGCGTGAGGTGTGTCAATTTCGAACCCCCCCAGATCTTCTGAGACCCCTCCCAGGAGGTGCTAACCGGGGCGGTTTTCGGCTCCCCCCACTCGCGCGGTCTACAACAAGGTACAGTACGCAACAAGAAGCAGAACTGTAGCACTGGAAACTGGAACTGGCGCAGGGAACAGCAAACACTGGTCCTACAGCCTGGTGGCCCCACAAAGGGGCCGGCGGATTCCTGCCCCTGCGCCGGCGACATCCTTCATTGAGCATGTCGTTCTCGTTGTGGCGCCTGTCACATGTCCGACGGAAAACGCTGCTGTCGCCCAGGCGCCAGCCACATTTGTCATTGAGCATGTCGTTTTCGCTGTGGCGCCAGTCACATGTCTGATGAACAGTGTCGCTGTCGCCCAGGCGCCGGCCACATCTTTCATTGAGCATGTCGTTTTCGCTGCGGCACCAGCCACATCTGATTGAAGATGCTGCTTTCGCTTAAGCACCGGCCGCACGCATGGTTACGATAGTTGTTCTCGCCTCAACGCGGTCCGCACTCTCGACTCGGAATGCTGCTTTCGCCCAGGTCCTGGGCGCTGGCCGCGCGCATGATTGCGAGTGTTGCTCTCGCCTCAGCGCGGGCTGCGCTCTCGGTTCGGAATGCTGCTCTCGCCTGGCGCCTTCCAAAAATATGATTGCGAATGTTGTGCTGCCGCTTCGGCGCCGGCCGCACCCTTGATTGCGAACGCCCTTCTCGCCTTGATTATAGACTGTACTATCGTTGCGGCGCCTGCCACATCTTGATTGCGAGCGCCATTCGCGTCGCAGGGGAAGACGAAGTCTCGCAAGCTTGTGGGCTGCGCAAGCTTCCAGATCGCGGCCCCATCCGCGGCTGGTTTGGTGCCGCTTGGATTAGTTCACGTTGTGCTACTGGTTATCGTTTTGCTGGTCAGATTGGTGCTGCTGGTGACGCTGACAGTGCTGCGCATGGTGCTGCTGTTTTCCGTCGTGCTGGTCACAGTGGCGCTGCTTCCGGCGATGCTTCTCACAGTGGTACTCCTCGTTGCACTTGTTATGGTGGGCGTAGTGCTGTTGTCTCCTGTCGGGTTGGTCGAACTGTTGATGCTGATGGCGTCGGTAGTACTATGTGGTGTGTTTCATCTCTCCTTCGTGCTGGTCACAGAGGCGCTACTGCTTCGCGGAAGGCTGCTGTCTTTGGTGATGCTCGTCACATTGGTATTGCTCGTTGCGCTTAGGTTGGTGAACGTAGTGTTACTGTTTCCCGCCTTGCTGGTCACAGTGGTGCTGCTGGTGGCGATCGTAGTGCTGCGCGTAGTGCTGCTGCTTCCCGTTCAGCTGGTCACACTGGCGCTGCTGGTGGCATTCGTGCTGCTGCGCTTGGTGCAGCTGGTTTCCGTCGTGCTGGTCAGTGGTATTGCTTGTTACGCTTGTGATGCTTGTTACCGTTGTGTTGGTCACACTGTTGCTGCTGGTTGCGGTCGTGCTGGGTCGCGTGGTTCTGCTATTTCTTGTCGTGTTGGTCGCGCTGGTGGTACTGGTGGCGCTAGTGGTGCGTGGCACTGCTGCTTCCCGCCGTGTTCGTCATAACGCTACATCTTTGGCGTTGGTGTTGCTGTACGTGGTGATGTTTCTTGCTGTAGTTATGGTCACAGAGGTGCCACCAATGGCGCTAGGGTTGGTCGCATTCTTGCAGTGCTGCTGGTGGCGCTCGCGCTGCTGCTGGTGGTTTTGCTGGTTTCTGTCGGGCTGGTCGCATTGGTAGTGCTGCTAGTCTTTCTCGCGCTACTGACAGAGGCACTGCTGGTCGCGCTGGTGCTGCTGCGAGTGGTGCTGACGTTTCTTGTCGTGCTGGTCACAGTGGAAACTGTTCGTTGCGCTCGCATTTCTCCTGCTGCACGCTTGACGCGCGGAGGCCCGCAGCTGCAGCAGGCAAGGGCGGCGTTGGCAGCACGGCCGCCGCCGGACGCTCTGGACGACGACGGCGGGCGGGCACTGCTCAGGGGCAGCTTCTGGCCAGTTTAGGCGCCGTTGCTGGCCGTGCAGGGCGGTGGTGCTGGGCGCTGGATCTGCTGGCTGGGACGGGCAGCAGCAGGCAGCGGGCGCTGACGGAGGGCCCACGACGAGCCGTTACACCGTCCTCGCTCTCGCCGTGGCGGTCTTGGGTAACGCTGCTACTACAGGCCCTGGCTGGCGCAACCCTTCCCCCTGGGAGCGACCACCGTTCGGGCTTGGGCAGATCAGCAATTACTTCCGGGGCGGGGCTCGCACCTCCCAGCCAAGTTTCGCACGGACGGATTGCGCATCTTTGTCTGGGGCACACCCGAGTGTCCAGCGCATCTTTGTCCGGGCCGTGACGTTGAGCGCTGGGGAGAGGGAGCGCTTTCCCCCTCGCCAGCCTCGCTGGCGGGGGGGGGGTGTTCGCGCAGTCCAGCGCGAATCGCCTGGTGCTGCTGATTCGCGTCGTGCTCGTTCTGGTGGAACTGCTGGTGGTGCTGGTGCTGCCTTGCGTGGCGCAGCTGCTTCCGTAGTGCTCGTCGAACTGGTGCCGCGCTTGGCGCCGCTGCTCGTCGTCGTGTTCGTCGCAGTGGTGGTGCTGGCGGCGTTGATGCTGCTTCGTGTGTGGTTGCTTCTCCTCGTCGCGCTCGTCTTTCTGGAGCTGCTCGGGTCGCTCGTGTTGCTGTGCGTGGTTCTGTTGCTTGCTGCTGTGCGGGCCGTAGAGCTACTCGCTTTTGCCACTGCTGCTCTCAGCACTGCTGGTGTCGGCGCCGACGCTACTGTAGTGCTCGTCGCGGCAGTTTTTTTGGTTGCGCTGGAGCTGGTGCGCGTCGTGCTATTGTTTCCCAGTGTGCGGGTCAAGGTGGTGCTGCTGGTTGCTGTAGCTTCTGCGTGTCGTGCTGCTGTTTCTCGCGGTGCTCGTCAGTGGTGCTGCAGGTGGCTCCGTTGCTGGTGGCGCTGGTGTTGCTTGCGATACTGCCGCTGGCGACGTTGATGCTGCGCGTGGTGTTGCTGCTTCAGACAGGCCTTGGTGGAGTGGCACTGCAGGTGGCAATCTTGCTGCCTTTGTCTTGCTACTCACAGTTGTGCTGTTGGTGGCTCTTGTGTTGCTGCTGCGGTGGCGATGCTGGTTCCGATCGGGCTGGTCACAGTGGAACTGCTCGTTTCGCTCGTGTTGTTGACCGACGCTTCGCGGGCCGTCGTGCGCATCTCCGCCAGGCCGCGTGGACTGCGGTGCGAGGGGCGAGCAGCTGGGTCCTGTGGGACAGGCTGTGGGCTGTGCCCTGGGGCGCCCTCAGTGCCCAGCGCAAAATCGAACGATTTGGGCCGTGACACTTTGCGCTGGGGCGATCGCGCTTCCCCCGTCGCCAGCCATCGCCGGCGGGGGAATGGGGGCGCTCGCGCAGTCCAGCGCGAATCGCCTGATGCTGCTGGTTCCCGTCGTGCTCGTTCTCGTGGAACTGCTGGTGGCGTTCGTGCTGTTTGCGCGTGTGATGCTGCCGGCTGGACATGGCGCCGGCGCTGGGCGTTGGAGCTGCTGTCCGGGCTGGGCGGCGGCGGCGGCAGGCGGCGGGCGCTGACGGCGGGCCCACGACGAGTCATTACCCCGTCCTCGCGCTCGCCCCGGCGTTCCTGATCCGCGCTGCTACTTGAGGGCCCGGCTGGCGCAACCCGTTCCCTGGGAGCGACCGCCGTTCGGGCTTGGGCCGCGCAGCAGTTGCTCCCGCGGCGGGGTTCGCGAAATTTCGCACGGACGGATTGCGCATTTCTCCTCTGGGGCGCCCCGATCCCCAGCGCAAAGTTGAACGATCTTCAGAAGCCGAAAAGTCACCCCCACCCCCAGTCCCGACTCCCATCCCCCAGCCAGCGATTCAAGGGGTCGTGATTGGGGGTGGGGGGGGGGTCCTCCATTCTTGGGCCCCGAAATGCCACATCCACCCCCAGTCCCGACCCCCTGGGTCGCGGGTTCCGGGATGGGGTCGGGACTGGGGGTGGGGGGGGCTTTTCGCGTTCCCAGATCTGGGTCATGACGCGTTGCGCTGGAGTGAACGCCTCCCCCCCCGCTGGTCTGTCCTGCGGAGGGGTGGGGGTGCTCGCGCAGTCCAGCGCGAATCGCCTGGCGCTGTTTTGTGCCCGGACAGAACACATGGGCGACACAACCCGAAGGGAGGTGCCCAAGGTGCCTGCATGAATTCACATGCAGTCGGACCTCGCAACATGAACGGCGGCACGGACCGCCCCCGGCGTTATCCGCGCCGCCGTTGCGAGGTGCCTCGAGATGCCACCCCGAGACACGGCCACCGGCACCACCCCCACTTGGCCGCCGGCCTCAAGCAGCGGAGGCCCCGCTGCCCAAGGACTTAAGTTCCCGCGCCCCACACGTCGGGGGACCCCTTCGAGTAACCCCCGCCTGGCGCTGTTACTTCCCGTCGTGCTTGTTCTACGTGGAACTGCTGGTGGCGTTTCTGTTGCTGCGCGTGGCGTTGCTGCTTTTCGTCGTGCTGATAACAGAGGTGTTGTTTGTGGTGCTTGTGTTAGCGCGTGTCGTGCTGCTGGACCCTGTCGTGCGCGTCACGGCGGTGCTGCTCCTTGCGAGTGTGTTGGTGCGTGTAGTGGTGCTGCTTCTCGTCGTGCTGGTCACACTGGTACTGCTAGATGCGTTTACGTTGCTTCGCGTGGCGTTGTTGCTCGCAGTCGTGCTCGTCACAGTGGTGTTGCAGGTGACGCTGGTGCTGCTGCGTTTGGAGTTCCTGCTTGCTGTCGTTGTGGTCACAACGTTGCTGTTGGTGGTGCTTGAGTTGTGTCGGGTGGTGCTGCTGCTCAATTCCTCGTCGTGGTCGTCATACTGGTGTTGCTCGTGGTGGTGGTGGTGCTGTTTGTTGTCGTGTTGGTCAGAGAGGTACTGGTCGAGTCGCTTTTGTGGCTTGCGCTACTATTTCTGCTGTTGGCGTTGGTCTTGTTGATGCTGCGCATGGTGCTGCTGTTTCTGGCGCTGCTCGTTTCAGTGGTGCTGCTGGTTGCCCTAGAGCCAGTGCGCGCGCTCAGTGGCCACATCCACTACATCAAGTTTGTGTTGGCTTTAACCCAGGCCGCATCCATGGTTGGCACCACAAGCCACATCCACGATTGCGAACTTTGCTTTGACATCTTCGCCAGCCGCGTCAATGATCGCGAACCTTGCTCAGGTTTCAGAGCCTGCCACAACCCGTCATTGCGAGCGTCACTCTCGCCTCAGCGCCAGCCACATCCACGACTACGACGGCTGCTGTCACCCCAGCGCCAGCCATATCCATGATTGCGAACGTTACTCTCGCCCCAACGTTGGCCACATCCATGATTGCGAGTGGTGGTGTCGCCTTGGCGCTGGCAACATCCACGATTGCGAATGTTGTTCTCGCTCCAGCGCTGGCCACATCCACGATTGCGAAAGCTGCTCTCGCCTTAGCGCCGGCCACATCCATGACTGCATATGCTGCTGTCGCTTCAGCGCGGGCCACACCCACGATTACGAAAGTTACTCTCGCTTTAGCGCCGGCCACATCCACGACTGCGAAAGTTGCTCTCGCTTTAGCGCGGGCCCCATCCATGATTGAGACTGTTGCTCTCGCCACAGTGCCAGCCACATCCATGACTGCGAAAGCTGCTCTCGCTTCAGTGCCGGCCAGAGTCTTCATTGGAAACGAAGAGGGATTAGTGATACAGTTGGCACTTTTGCATTGCATGTTGCTGTGGTTGCTTTGTCGCCCCATTCTGGTGCATCATTTGCTACAGCGCGCGCGTGACACACTGGTGTCGCCGAGCAGTTGGCCACGTTAACTTTAATGGGTCAGGTTAGCTTTGGTTACATGTTGTGGTCTTTGATGTCGATTAGCGATGCCGCCTGGGTCCATTCGGACTTCGACGCCGTGGTCACATGGAGTGTCCTTGGCAGTTTTCACTCGAGGCTGTTTTGATAAAGGTTGTCCTGGCAAATCTCGCGTATGATAAGATACACCTCCATGAGCCAGACCTTGGCGCAGATGTCAGACGACTCTACAGGCTTACGCCACATCCGCCGACCCCTTCTGTGAGTGTTGCGAGGCCAGGAGTTTCTGGCCAGCGGCGTCTTGTGTGAGGGTGCGGTGTCGCGCGCGGGTGGTGGCAGATACGTAGGGGGTCCAAATGTTTGCGTGATGCCGGTGGTCTGGGGCGTGTTTTGCGAGCGCTTTGCGTGCTGTGCACCCGGGTGCGGGGTGTCCTTCTGGGAGGTCGGCCTTTCGACCCGCAACCAGGTGGAGGAGCACGGGAAGACGAAAGAAGCAAGAGTAGTGTGTGGAAGCTGTGATCAGCGAAGCATCACAGCGAAAGATGTGGCAGATGAATCGAAACGGGTGAAAAGGCTGTTGACGTTCGCGGCGCGCACGAAACAGTTCGCGCGGCAGCAGCACATTAGCGCCGAGTAAGATAGTGAGCACGTCGCGAGGAAGAGCAAGGTTGTACGCGCGGAGTGCATTGCAGTTGGCGTGACGGCTCGCAATACGGAAGCGTCTGGGGGTCTTTTGGGGGCCTCCTGGGGGCCTCTTGTGGGCTCCTTGGGGCGTCTTGGCGGTTTCTTGAAGGCCGTTGGCGGCCTGTTGGGGCACTCTTGGGGCCCCTGGGGCTCGCGGGGGCGGAAAGCTAGATTTTTGAATTGTTGGTTGCCCTCTTGGGCCCCTCTTGGTGCCGTCTTGGAGCCTTCTTGGGCCGTTTTGGGGACCTCTTGGGCCGTCTTGGGGCCATATTGGACCGTCGCGGGGCCGTTTTGGGGGCCTCTTGGGCCGTCTCGGGCGGTCTTCCGGGCCTCTTGGGCCGTCTTGGAGCGTCGGAAAGCCCAGAAGGCGGATGTGTGAACATTGTACGTTTTACGACGGGAATCAGTACATTTCTGCGTCCAGGGACCGTTTTGGGACGCATCGTGGGGGCCTCTCAGGGGCGTGTTGGGCCATCTGGAGGCCATTTCGGGTGTCTTCGATCGCTCTTGGACCGTGTGGGACCATGTTGAGCTCTCTTGGAAGCCACTTGGAGCGCTCTTGGGGCCGTTTTCGGGGCTCTCTTGGGCCGTCTTCGGCGCCTCTCGAGCCGTCTTAGCGCCTTCTTGGGCTGTCTTGGGGCCCTCTTGGAGGTTTCTTGGGCCGTTTTGGGGCGGTCTTGGGGGCCTCTTGGGCCGTCTGGGAGCGTCGGAAAGCCCAAAAGGCGAACTTGTGAAAAACGCACGCTTTACGAAGGGATCGGAGTATTTTTTACGTTTAGGGGCCCTCTTGGGACGCATCTTGGATGCCTCTTGGGGCCTCTTGGGGGCATCTTGGGCCGTCAGGAGGCCATCTTCGGTGTCTTTGATCGCTCTTGGGCCGTCTGGGACCATATTGAGCTCTCTTGGAGGCCACTTGGGGCGCTCCTGGAGCGCTCTTGGGGCCCTTTTCGGGGCCCTGTTGGGCCGTCTTGGACGCTTGTTGGGCCGTCTTGGGGCCCTCTTGGGCTATCTTGGGACCCTCTTGGGGGTTTCTTGGGCCGTCTTGGGGCGGTCTTCGGGGCCGCTTGGGCCGTCTTGGAGCGTCGGAAAGCCCAGAAAACGAATTTGTGAAAATTATACGTTTTACGAAGGGAATGGACAATTTTTTGCGTCTAGGGTCCCTCTTGGGACGCATATTGGAGGCCTCTTGGGGCCTCGTGGGGACCTCTTGGGCCGTTTTGGAGGCCTCTAGGCTCGTCTTGGGGCCATCTTGGGCGTCTGGGAGCGCTCGTTTGGCGTCTCGGGGCCCTCGTGGGCCGTCTTGGAGGCCTCTTGGAGCCTTCTGGGCCCGTCTTGATCCCCTTTTGGGCCCAAAAGAGCCCCGTGACGCGCTCGTCGTGGGCCCGAGGGGGGGTCGAATCTCCGGTTTGGGGTCCCTGGGGGGGGATTATGGGGGGGGAACTATCTCACACGCCTAGAGACCCACAAGCGGTCGGCGGATTTGTTCCACGATGGTCGATCAATCAGCCGCGAGATCTTGGATCTCTTGCCCCAGTATGGCTTGCAGCACTGCCCCCCGCTCCACCACCACCTCATTGTCATTTGTTCCTCGAGCTTGTCATTTGTATGATTCCCAGTCGTTTTGCCGCGCTGGGCGGCAGCGCGTGTACAGCGGCCGCTGCACTGGCGTGGATGCTTGCTCCAGCCACGCGTGTACAGCAGTGCTCTGGTTACGGGAGCCGTCGAATGCATCATGGTCGTGATCGCAATTGCACAGCTATCGTCGCGGTTGGAGCCAGTGGATGAGGAGGAGGAAGAAGGAAGGGCGAAGATGGGAAAGGCGCGGAATGGGAGAAGGATATATCCTTTTCGCAACTCATTGGAGAATATGGGATGATGAGAAAATGGAATGCGAGAGGGCAGACGGGCGGGAAGGATGGACGGACGAGCAAGGAGGCAGAGGCACGGTATTCAGGAGGCGGGCGAGGAGGACGACAAAGACGCCACGATCATCCGATCTAGGTCCGCGCAACGTCAAAAAAGGCAGACGACGACATGTTACGGTGTGTGTTCCGCGTTCTGGGTGCGTCTAAAGTTTCATCGAAGTCGCGCGCGGCGAATCACCGCCGTTCCTTGCTTTTGGGGGACGCGTGGCTGATATGGAGTGGGCAAGGTTGTATACCGCGATCGAGGCCACATTTGGTTACCTCTGGGCCATATCGGCGGCCTTGGGGGCGTATGAGGGCCATGTTGAACCGTCGAGGATGCCATCCTGACCGTCTTGGGGCCGCTTGGCGTCCACATTGGACAGCCTTGCAGCTCGAGGCTGTTTGGAACGCCTCTGGGAGCCGTCGTTGGCAGGTTTCGGAGGCCGATTCGTTCGTTTTGGGCGCTTTGGAGACCGAACGAGCAAGAATCCGAACATCGTTGAAACCGCCATTGTGTTAAATGGTCTAGACCTCGTGGGTCAGCTTTGAGGGCCCCCAAGACGGGCCAACTTGGACCATGGAGGCGCCAGTCATAGGGGGCGTCGGTCGTGTTGGAGGCGCCCGCCTGTGCCTAGATGTGGAACGGCCCAGAGTGTGGCCGACGTGGTTTCGGGGATTCATTCGGGGCATGTCCACGCAGCGGGGGGTGCGGTTGGGAGCGAGAGCAACGTTGCGCCCCACGTTTTCTCGAAGGCTTTAACATTGCGACAGGTCGACGGGCCGGCGGTTCTGGGCCCGCCGCCGAGAGTTCCGAGCATGTTTATACGAACGTTTTCGATGATCATGCGAGTCTCAATTGCCAGATTTTCCCATGGAGGAGGCCGATGAGAAGGCCGCTACCGAGGCGCCTTCGGTCCATGCGCCTAGGGAGGATGCCGCGGACCCCCGCGCCGCGGATAGTTCAACGATTCGCGCGTCCCCAGACGCAGAGGACGAACCGTTTGATCACCCAACTCCACCGCCGGCTTCTCTTTGGGATGGGGGCGGCGAGGCCGCGGCTGATTCTGACCCCGACTCCGCATCTGATGATGAGGGCCGAGGGGGTCCGACGTTGGCCGTGGGGCCCACGGATGTGGACGCGCGCGGCCCCCATAGAGACGACTGCCCTGACGACCAAGACAAGTCGGGTCTTCGCCAGGGAGAGCATCGATTATATCGCCAGCCGGATTCTTCCATGGCCAAGCCCATGGAATGTTTCCCGGAGCCAGGTCACTTGTTAGCCCGTACCACCCAAAACCTTGTCATTATGGAGTCTTACGAGGATGAATGCATCGCTTCGGGCCGCAAGGCATTCTCGATTGAGAATGCGCCACCAGAGGGTAGACGGAAAACCTTTTTAAAGATGCGCGTTTATATGTATTTAACCATGGCGCAGCCTCGAGGTCCCGTCGCCGGATAATCGTGACCCCCGGGGAGAGTGCCCCCATCATTCTGACGATTCGATGCGTGGCCCAGGAATGAAGACATATTATTTCCGTCGGGGCGGGGCTCCAGCAGTCCCAGACAAGGCCCAGCTGCCTCGCGGAGTTCAGCCACTGTGTGGCGTCGACGCCAACATCGCCCATCCTCTAACAAGGGTGGGGGTTCATATCCTTGCCAGCAGAAGAACAAGAAATTTGCATTAGGAGTACTCCTCCGAGCACTAAGAGGGACGCGGACATAGCCCACGCGGCGGGCCCGTTTCCCTAAAAATTGGCACGCTTGAGGCAGATTGCATTCAAGAGGCTGGATGCCAACGCCAGGTTTCATCATGAGCCGATCTTCTCGTATCTGGCTAGTCCATGAAACGGCGCCCAGTACGAGGGCGCGGTTGCTGGCGTCCATGCAACGTGCAAATCCCACGAGGACAATGATGATGCGCCCCGCACGGCGCAGAAAGAGTCGGTTCCCTTCGACGCGGGGAGAAGCCCACAGCTTAAAGTTAGCGACGCGGAAGACAAGGCGACTGGTGGAATCTGGGTCGTTGGACTGACAGACAGGCGAAGCGCGCTGTAAAAATGGCGTTTGTCCTGCTTCGGCATTCTGTACATTACGCGCGCAACTCCGTTCCGATGGAAAGTGTTCCGCCCAGGAATGGATCGCCAAAGCGAATTGCGATGGCCTAAGACAGAGAAAGGTGGCCCTGGCGACTCCCAGGCCCCGTCCAGATGACGGGATTGGAGGCGAGAAAAAATCATGTACCCCATATGTTTTCGGTTGCGCATAAGCAGCAGGCGCTGGAAAGGGACTTCCCGAAGTCGGAGACACGCGGAGCCCCATTGCCGTTTTTGTCGGGGCAGCGCAGGGCCAATCAGCGGCCCCTGCCAACGTCGATAGAACGCACGGCCCGCGGGAGTTCCGCCACGCGCCCCACTGCCACGGCCCGCCGTTGCACGCCACCTCGACGAGGGCCACCAAGGAAACGACTCGGGGATGGGGGGGGGGGGGGGGGGCGCAACAAGCGGCGCGGGCGCGCATGCCTAATGCCCCAGATTATTGCGCTCGACGAAGGCCACCAACTCGGGACTCGGGGATGGGGGGGGGGGGGGGGGTCAAGCGGCGCGGGGTCGGCATGCGCACCTAATGGGGGGGGGGGGGGGGGGCGCAACAAGCGGCGCGGTCGCGCATGCCTAATGCGCCAGATTATTGCGCGATGCGGCTCTCAATGTCTTGGCCGCCGATGCGACCCCGCACTGGCCGAGCCCGCGCGGGGTCTCGCGCGCGGCCCCCGACGGGGCGCCAGTTTCACATCGGCGCCCTCGATGGGCGAACATGGCGAGGATGGCTGTTTTTCGCCACCATAACGTTGCACGCAACACTCCCCCTGAGATCACATGGCAGGCATTGTCTGAACGGGCGGGCAGCCAGAGACGATGATTTCGCGCCGACTTGAACCGTTGGACACGGGCAATCGGATGAGACCGTTGCTCCAGCGGGGGGCGCCGTCGGCTCATCCGACCGCCGACGGCGCCCCTCGCGACGACGAAGAAGGGGTAGTTCAAGACGAGGAACGACCTGGGATTCTCGCCGATGATGCCCAGAGGCTTTCTGCTGCCCCCCGGAAGGACGACGGTCGTTTTTTGCGCCGCAATCTCCGCGAGTTATGTTCGGGATTCGGGCCTGTCCAGCACGCTTCGCTGTCTTGCCGCGACAGTTGGTCCGTCGAGATTTCCCCGTGCTGCAACAGATCGCATGGATTTGAAATTGCCAGAGAGAGCGGTCGGAGCGCCTGATGATCGATCATGAGAGCCTCCATCTGACGGCGACGATCCTTTCCAGCACATGGGAGGCGGGAATTCATCGACTATCCCCAACTCCGTCTGGAGGCGCCCTCAGAGGACAGGTTTGCTTGAAAAATGAACCAGTGTCGTTCTTTTCATGGCATGAACACCATTACTCGGTTCATGGAGCATCTCAAAGATAGTTGTTCCGAGTAAGTGAAATGCAGTTTGTTGTTTGGCGGAAGGTCTTGCGGACGCCACTGGGCCATCTCTCGGCGCCCGTGGCTCGCCCACCCCCGGCAGCTTTTGATTGGCCCAGAGAGCAGAACGCGGTTGCCATTAATCCCCGGGGATGCCCAACATGGGAAGCAAACTTGCACGCGGGCGGCAGGCCGTTGCCCGCGCCTGCCCCGTTGGCGCCGGCCGCGGGCGCAGCCCGCGGTCGGCCGAGTGCAGGCGAGGAGGCGGCGAACCAGACGAATGCGACGCACGCGCGCAATCCGCTCGCGGGCGCTGGCAAGTTCGATCTTGGGCCACATCGCGCAAGCCGGTCCGCCACCTGGCGAGCGAAGCTCGCGCGAGAACTCGCAGAAGGTAGGCCACTGTCGTGGGTGCACGTTAAGGACGAGGAAAAGGAGCCTTCGAAGTTTCTCATTAAGTGCGCCGATCAAGCTTAGATACCAATTCCCACTCGGTGCCCTCTTGAGTTGCGATTATACCGAGTGCCTGCGGTCATCCAGGGATAGATTGTTGCTTGCATTCCGGGGGGCCGCTGCGCGGCCTTCCCTGAAGGAAATGTCGAGGGAATGTTATGTTTGGCGCTGGGCATCGCCTCTAAAGAGGAGGAACGACGCTTGGGCACGCGACCAAGATATGAGTGGCAGTGCAAAGCCTTGACCTGGTTGAATCGCGCATGGAGAATCTGGGGCGCGGACTCAGGTCCGAGGCGCGATCTTCCGCTCCCACGATGCACGCGCGCATTGCTGAAGTCCGACCGCAGTCTAGAGCGAGCGATCGCGCCGCACTGCGGCGTCATCGACGAGAACACTTGCACGCGCCTCTGGAATCATCGGCGGGTCAAGGAATTCGGGACTGCCCATTATTGGCTCACCGTTGACGCGGACAGAGCGGCGCACGAGAAGGACGACAAACCGACCGCTGGAAGGGCAGATATTGCAAGCGCGGCGGGCACAGAAGACGCTGCCAGCTCAGCCAGCGGCACTCGTTCTGCGGGCGAGCCTGGTCCGTCCAACGCACCTGCGCCGGACCCCGTTGCTGACCCGGTCAGCGGCGGCGCGGCAGCGTCAGGCAGCACCGTGCATGTCGATGGCTTTAGATGTGCGGCTGCCGGTTCAACTGGCGGTCGCAAGTCGTGGACCAACAATTACGTCCGAAGCGTCGCCCCCCCCCCCCCCCGCATCGGCGACATGGACGCCGAAGTCGCAGCCGCGCGCGCCGCCGCCGCCGCTTGCTCGCCGAGGGCCCGCGGCAAGGGCTCGCCCCTTCCGGAGACAGCGCGCCGCCGCCGCCAAAGTCCAGGAGACATGCGGCTGCGCAAGTTGGCGATGCGACAAT